AATGCAGTTATGGTCACTGATTTTTAAAACATGCTGAAGAAGGTAGTGGTAGGCATAGCCCACCTTTTACATAATAGCCTGATGACAAAAGTGCTCAGCCAAGAAGTGAGAGACATGAGTTCAACTTCCTTTTTAACCTAAGAAGGTTCAGACCCATGTCCTACTACCCAGAAGAGTGCCTTTAACCACTAGACTGTAGGGCAGGGGTCAGCAACAGCTTAGAGTAGGGAGTTGCTCCAAGTGCAGGCTGTATCCAACCTAGCTCATTCTGCCACAGCCACATTACCATAATAGGTCAGGAAATTAAGGTCTCTGTTAAGGCCCTGGTTTTAGTCTCCAGTAAGCTAATGAATTTTTGTTTCTAGCCTATTGAAAGTATTTTGTAACAGGAGGACTGTGAGGTCAGACAAGGAACCGTTTTGGAACTGGCTCACAACTGATGCGGGTCGGAGAGTTCAGACACACATAACAATTGAACCGTTCCAAAACTGAACCAGTTCGCAATTGTGTGAAGTGTTGTGCTCCAACACCAGGGAGTGGAGGTGAGCACCCAGTACAGCATGCTTTGAAGTGGGTAAGCAGGGGAGTGCTTGCAACCACACTTCGGAGATGGCTGACTTGTGGATGAAGGTATTGTCATTTTTTGCTTTTCCTTACATAACACCCAGCTGATTCACAGTCACTTGGTTCAAAACAGTACTTGATTTTCCAGGAAGATTAAACTGATTTAAAAGGCTTCTATGTCTGTCCACTTCAGGTTTAAATTACGCTTAACCTTTTGTGGTCAGGATACTCACTGGGGAGGGGAGAGTGCCGGGTTATAATGCCTGCTGTTTCTGTATTTTATCCAATGACCATTTAATTCAAAATTCACAAACTGGCCCAGAGACAGGTACAAAAACACAGGACTCCTTTCTCTGGAGTGTGCCCAAGCTGCTAGGACACAATATCAGGCTCCTTCTTATTCTCTTTCTGACCAAATAAACTTGTATTTTTTTCTTGCACTTGCAGCCCATGGTGGGAGGGAGGTTTGTTTCTTTGTTTTAAAGTATGGGGTCTTAAAGAAGGCTTTAGGTTACATAATGTTCAAAGAAGCCACTGACTTTTCTTAATCATTCTTAGGGAGGCAATTCTTGTCTTTCTGCTTTGGACAGAAATGTTGCTTATGTAACTGTCAGTCTCCAGTTAACAACATCATTGCACTCAAATGGCCTCTTCTCTTGAGAACCAGTAATAATATTAAATGACTTACCTATTTTGGGACATCAAATATCTTACCATTCATATAGCAATGACAGTATGTAATTGCTCTGAAGAGCATAAGCCTGGATAGGACCTCATAGTTATCTTCATCATATCAACTTTAGGAGGATCTTGATAAAAGTTATTAGGTTTTTTGCACACACTTGTCCTAGCTGAAGGCTCTTTCAGAAACTCTTTCCTCCTTCCTCTAATTTCTATTTTAAATGTATTCATAGCCAGTTATACCTATTTGTTCTCATGACAACATTGTCCCTTAGCTTAAATTGCCTTTTTTTTTCTTTGGTATTTGCCACCTTGATATGTTTATAAAGACCAATCTTACCCCTTCCAGTCTTTGCTTTGCTAAATAAGCAAGTTTTTCCCATCTCTTCTCTCCTCCTGATCTTTTTGGTAGACCTTCTCTTTGCCTGTTCCAGCTTGAATTCACTTTTCTGGAACATGGGTGTGCAGAACTCTATGTGATATTGCAGCTAAGGGTTATCGTTACCTTGTACAATTTTTCTGCTGAAAATGCCTCAACTGATATATTCTAGGATCATCTTAGCCTTTTTTATGGCTCTATCATATTGGTGGTTCCTAGCTATCCTGTGTCATTTCCAACTACTAAGCTTATAGCAGAAATTCCTTAGGGGAGTGCCTTTCAATATAAAATATTTGCAAATGTACAAATATGCATGCCATTTATAAGCATTTAAGGAATAAATAATTTATATCAAACATGTCCCAAATATGCACATCTGTCTTAATGTGATATAACAATTTATAGAGTGTCTCTAAAATTAATCAGCCTGTAATGCAAGAGGCAAGGATTTCTTAGGGTGATATTTATTATTCAAAGCAGAGAAGAGAGTGCAGAGGAAGGAACAGGAGAGCAATCCTGGCCTACAGCCTACTCTGCCATGCTGAAAGAACTGCAACTACTGCAGACAGATCTAGCTCAAGGACCGGACTCTTAAGTCACCTCAAGACCCATCAATGATCTGTAATAGAGATCATCCTTGAATCAAGGGATTGCCACTACCACTGCTAATGTGACCCTCTGCTTCTGACTGCCAGCCCCTTTTGACACATTATTTTGGCAACATTGTAGTTGGGATAAAGTTAGACAAACTTCTAAATGCAAGACATTCTTCTTCAAAAGCATGTCTTGCTTCATCCCAACTACATCATTGGTCCAATGAAAGATATCACCTAGGAAATCATTGCCTCCCATATAATTTCTGGACCATCGTGGCTCTGACATCACTCTGACTCTACTGGTCTTTAATAACATTATTCCTAGGATTCTAAAAACTGAAGAAAAAGGAAAAGAGAAAGGAGGCTCATGTCTCAGGTGTTTTGTGGTCTTGAAAGATCAGGTGCTATAAATCATTTCCTTTGGGATCCTGGAAAAAGAATACATGAACATTTCGTAACCAGAGGAATGTGGCTGTCTCTGTGAGGACACAGTTGCTAGATACTTGCCTTGTAAGCAGCTCCCAAGCTTGGTCTCCAGCTACAGTCTAGGTCTGACAGTTCCTAATTAAACACCATGGCCAGACACATTAAAAAAATCATAACTAATATTCACTTGTTGTTTTCTAACCCCACTAAAATAAGATTGAACATGATAATATAAGGTACTTTACAGACTTTGAAGGTGGCAAGTTCAGAGGCATGGACCAGGAAGAGTCAGTTCTCCTCTCAGCTTCTGCTGCCTGTAACAGAGGGCCCCTCTAACACATGCAGATAAAGGTGCAATAGGATCTAACACATGATCCACACAATTTTTTTCTCTTGCCATGCCACATAGGGGGTGTCAGGTATGGGGGGTCCCAAGCAGCCCCTCAAGCTGGAACTCTGCCAATCTGAAGGGAAAAGCCACAGTTTCCCATGTTTTTCTCCTTTAAAGGAGAATCCATTTTTAAAGTTTGTTTGCGACCCTTGCATATATTCTTGTGACCCACTTCTGGGTCTTGGCCCACAGATTGAGAAATGCTGAGCTAGGAGATCACAGCTGCCATAATCTCCCAGTTGTGGCGGGGCATGGAGGCCCCTATGAAGATTGCAGCTGCTATGATCTCCCAGCCGTGGGGATACATGGAGCTCCTCCTTGGCTGGGAAATTTCAGCTCCTTTGATTAATCTCATGGGATATGTGGAGCCCCTGTGGCTGGGAGATCACAGCTACTGCAGTCTCCCAGCTGGGGGGGATGTGTCAAGCCCCCCACAGCTGGGAGATCATAGCTGCTGCAGTCTCCCAGTTTGGGGGGTGGGGGGCACCATGCACCCCTGGGACTGTGAGGTCGCAGCCACACCCAGCAGCTACTGGGACCCAGAGTCCCACAGCTGCCAGATGCTGAGGGGGCTGAGAGTCCCCTTAGCTGCAGGACTCCCAGCCGCAGCTGGGCATGGTGCACCTCTTTGCATAGGTGCCAACTTTGGGTTTTGCTTTTTGCATTCCTGCACGGAGCCCCATGCATGCCCAGAAGAGGCAGTGCCCTACTTCAGTCCAGCTCACCCAGTGTGGCTCACGGGTGCTGAACACCTGCTCATTTCTTCGGTGGGTGCTTGAGCCCTGGAGCATCCATGGAGTTGGCACCTGCGCTCCTACGGCTGGGAGCCTGGTCAGCTGACTCTGTTACCTGTGCAAATTAAAGCTGAATAGCACCCAGCTCTGAAATTAGCACACATTTTGGAAGTCTAACCTTATACTGGGTTGACCCTTTGCATGAACAGTGCGTGTGACTGGGGCATGGTGGTGGCAGGAGCACCTGCAGCTGCTGCCAGCAGCGTCGGTGGCGGCTCGCGGGGATTGCAGACCACCTACAGACACCGCTGGTAGTGTCGGCGGTGCCTTTTTGCAGGGGGTGCACCGCCACGCTCATGGGGTGCACATGGACCCGCGTGCACCCTGACCCTTTGTGTGGCACAATAGCTGCCTTGCACGCATAGCTGGTCTCAGCTGAATGGTGCAATGAACCTGCAGTCCTCCTAAGGTGTAGAAGGAGCCTTGAGGCCCTGCTACGTGCTCAGATTAAAGCGGGACAGAAACCCGACACATTTCCAAGTGCTAACTTCGTAGCTGGTTGGCCCTTTGGCCCGCTGGGGAGCCGTCTAGATGGGGCGATGACCGCTTGGCCCGTGTGGCTGGGCTGCCCTCCCTGCGCCCTTCGCCAGCCAAGCGCGCCGCGTGTGTAAGGTGTGGCAGGGGCCACTCAGTGGGAGAGAGCAGAGATTTCCCTGGGGGAGGCTCTGTTCTGAACCCCGGCACCCCGCCCCGCTCCAGCAGTCCTGATCTCAGAGCAAAGCCCCCCAGGAGAGCGGGGGTGGTGCCGCCCGC